ATGAATTTTCTTTTTTTCCTGGATTGTTGGAAAAGTTTTCTTTCAGCCTTTGTTTGTATCTTTCCCTTCTTTCTACTATCTTTTCTCTACTTCCTCTCTCCATCGTTTGTTTCATCATTGTTTTTGTTTCCATTTTTGTGTTTATGAGCAGTTTGCATCTTACCATCCTGTGATCACTGCCGGTTTTGAATTGATTGACTACATCTACGTCTTGGATTATGTGTTCATGGTGGGAGATTATAAAGTCAATCTCATTTTTCGTTTGTCCATTTGGGCTATTCCATGTCTATTTACGTTTCTTTTTCTTTTGGAAGAGAGTGCTCATCAGATAGAGTCTTTCTCTTTCTAGGAAGTTTGCTAACATTCTTCCCCTTTCATTTCTGGTGCCGAGTCCAAACTGTCCTATGTATGTTTCCGTTGGTTCTGCTCCTCTGCCTATTTTTGCATTAAAGTCTCCTCCTAGAATAGTGTGCGTCGTTGGGTTCTCTCTTATTGCTCTCGCTATGTCTTCATATACCGTTTCCACCTCGTCATCTTCATGTGAGGAAGTTGGAACATAAGCTTGTATATATTTTAGTGTTATATTTTTATTTATATTGATAACGACATATATTACTCTGTCAGATATTGTTTTCAGGATTTTCAAGTTTGTCGATATTTTTTTATGTATTAATATTCCAACTCCTCCATTGTTATCATCATCCTTTCCCCTGTAGAGCATAGTATGCCCGGAATCCAGATGGAGGTATTGTTCTCCTTGTTTCGGCTAGTCCTACAATGTCCCAGTTTATTTTCTCCAATTCGTACTCTAATTCAACCAGACGTTCCTTAATTTCGATTGATCTTGTGTTGTAAGTTGCAATGTTTATAATAAGCAATTTGTTTTACTTTTGCTAGGTCCATTTTTATTTTGATTTTTCTTTATGGATGTCGACAAAGTAGGTACTTATCTATATTAGCGTTATAATTATTATGTTGCTAGAAAAACGTTTCCATTTCGACCCCTTTTGGTTCCTTATTTTTTAAACGTACCTACCTTATGCTTCAAGCAGATACGTACCGAATATATTTTTGGTAATTTTTTTTTAAATATTTTTGCAAACACTTAACGTGGCATGCAAGGGCGTACCCAGGATCTGAAATAGGGGGGGGGGATGACCAAAAAAAAAACAATGGATTTTGCATTTCTCTTTTTAATTACTAAATTTTGAGCAAATTTATTTAAAACTTGATTTTCAAATTGCTCTCGATTTGATTTAATTAAATCACGATGCACACTCATGAGACATAATCCTGTTAACCTTTCCTCTCCCATGGTACTTCTCAACCAAGTCTTCACTCTTCGAAGAGTACTGAAGGATCGTTCTACAGTGGCCGTGGTGCATGGAATTGTGATTAAAATCAAAAGTGCCTGTTTTAGGATGGGATAAAAAACATCGTTCTCGTCGAGAAGGTCAGTTATTTCGACGTCTTTTAGCTGGTCCTCAGTTGACTTTTTTCCTTCCACAAATTATACCATAGGTCCATTTCCGCAGTAATATCGTCCAATTTATAAAACTGGGTAAAATATTGTGCATTTTGTTCTACTTGATTGGTTTCCATGTCGAGCATATATAATGGATGTATTTTTGTTAAGGCAAACGCTGGAGTATGTTCTTGAGAAAAGCGAATATTTAAAGAGGCTATAATTGAATCCAGATACGGTATAATTAACGAACGCTTCCAGTAGTCACTATCACAGTCTGATGGAGGATTGTTTCTATGTATTTGCCTCTTGGTAATTCGAGGGATAGAAATATCTATTTCCAATTCCAATGCAAAGTCTTGTGCTTTTTTAAGTACTTCATCAATAACTAGGTCGGCATCTTCACGGTTTTTCTTCAGAACGTTAAGGATTACGTTCAGATGTTCTTGCAACTTAATTAAATCCATAGTTTTTGCTTGCAAGGCATTAACAACCGGCTCCAGTAAAGCTGAATATTTTGCAATTATAGTTAGGGCAACAATTAGTGAGGGTTTGGTAACGGCGGCATGCAACTGGTACGCAGATTTTCTCGTGGCGTAGTTTCCTTCGATAGATAGTTTTTCAAGTGATTTCACAATTTCGAGGAAATTTTGTGCAAATAAGCGAATACTTTTGTATTTTTCAGACCATCTAGTCTCACACAGTCGTGATAGATTAGGAGCGGAACTTCTGCGAGTGGTGGATTCCCTGAAAAAGGTTATAACATCCTTTACGGTGCCAATAGTGTTTCTAATTTCCGGAACATTATTTGCATCATTGACAACAAGATTTATTTTATGGTTTGAGCAATGAAAAAATAATGCTCGTGTGTACTTTTTCCTTAAAATCGCTTGTACGCCACCCTCTTTGCCCGCCATCGTAGCGCAGCCATCAAAACCAAGTCCTACACAACTATGCGGTGAAAAATTATAGCTAACTAAAAAATTGTCTATTGCATTGGCAATTGCTGGGGCATCCTGTGCTGTCAGCTCCACAAAACCCACAAATTCTTCTCGGACTTTTTTTTTACTTTCATCATAGAAACGCAAGCCAATGGATAGCTGCTCCTTTCCTGAAACGTCGGCTGTCTCGTCGGCTAAAACTGTGTAGAACATGGCTTTCTTTGCATCATTTATCACACTCTCCCTAATAACTTCGCCACATAAATATATGAGTTGGTTTTGTATTTTTGGTGACGTATAAACAGCATTTCTACGACACTTTTCCAGGTGATTCTTTAATTTGATGTCGCCCGACTCAACTCGCAAATTCATTAGATCGAAAAAAACTCCCTCATCTGCTTCTTTTCCTCGTAGAGGCATATCGTGTGTGCCACAGAATACTACACAGGAAATAATAGAGGCCAATATTTGCTTGTTCTCTTCGATTGTTTTTTGGTGGAAACTTTGAACTTGAATGTCCACAGGTATATTTTCGAGAAAGGCCTTTGCAGCAGCAGATGCAGATTTGTGAAAGTTATTGGTGGCATGTTTACGACAATCTTCGTGCATATTCCTAAACTTCGTAAATGGTCTGATCATAAATGAACCTAACACTCCCCTTACTGTGTCAGTAGAAGGAGGAAATAAAACACAGTGCTTACACAGAGCACCCTTTAGTCGCTTCGAATACACTAACCATGGTGTGTATTGATCTAACCAAGCATAATTAAATTTTCTTCGCAAATGACTGGCATCGGCTGCAAAATCGTAATTCTTGGGTGGAACCCACGGATTTTTTAACAACTATTTTTTTCTTTCCATCGTCAGGTGAAATGTTTGTCCTACATAACGACCCAAGTCATTTTCGTGGCAACCATCATTCTCTTCAATTTCGGGATTGACTGCAGAGCCAGATGTTGACGGTAAAGATTCTAAATTAGGAGCAGTGACTTTCTTAGATCTCAAAGAATTTAGCGGTTGCTCAGATTCAGATTCAGTTTTAGATGGGCTTGGCGATGAAATTTGATCATTGTTATCATCGCTCCCGCTGTTACTGTCATGTTCTTTTTTCCTCTTGAGAGTTTTAGTAGCTGCAAAACACAATAATGCCGCTATTAGTATTTTATACAGTGTGAGTGATATCCATGTTAGTGTTTTGTTTAACATGTAACATGGAAAAAAACATTTTGTTTTTTTTAATTGGAATTTACAGATTTTACACAAATGTCGTCGAATGTAACTTACTAACTGTAACTTACCTGTTTGAAAAAATTTCCTGATATCCATTTATCAGTGTGGAGATACCGAGATGCCCGAAATAGGTAGATTCAGCAGATTTTCCAATAAGTACTGTAACGTTTTTAGCGTGAACTTGTTCGACTACGATGTGATAAAAGCTGCCAATTAATTAAAACTATACTTTTATTAACACTTAACTAAAATTCACTCTGATTAATTTAACTAAACACACTAACTAGTTTATGTAACGCCTTGTATCTTGTATTTATTTATAAAAGTATTCTATTCTTCAACCCGGCACTGGCGAAATCTGCCCTCGCCGCCCGACATTGTTCCTTTTATATCCGAAGCGCCTGCTTCTCGAAGATTCTCTCCGCAGCACGTACGAAGCTTCGCGCTGCGTCTCGAGAATTCTCCACGCGGCCGGGAAGAGTCAGAGGCGGACTCAGGGTAATTTTCGTTACAGTACAATCTAATATAAATTTCTGACAATGTTTACTAGTGTAACGTAACTGCTAACAACATAGCATAGACGTTTATCAACAACTAAGTAAATTAAGTTTACTTGCAGTACTTGCACAAACAAATTAACATTGAATAACAAATGAAAATAATCGAATTCCGTTAGAAAAACAACACAATACAACAAATTCGCAGGGGCCAGGATCGTAATAGAAAATTCATATTTCTTTGCTAATTCCGCTAATTGCAAATCTAGTAGGCTGTGCAGTGCGCTGCGTTTGACTTACGTAGGTATATGAATATATTTTAGTAGTATTTAGTAGTATATTTTTCGGGTTTGTAATTTTTTTAGTAAAACCATAGTGGTTTATTTTGATTTTTTTATTTTCTGCACTTAGCGGAGCCTTTTTATAATTTATAAAAAAATTTAGGGGGGGGGCAGCTACCATTTAAAATCTCGACTTTGTCCAAATTTTGTGCTTTTGACAATAAAGAATTATTGTATTTAATTAGGTAGGTGCCTCTATCTATTCCATTATAAATTTCGAATGTATAGGTACAATTACTTATTGAAAGACTACAGCAAGGTCTTGTTAGATTTTCAAAATATTCAGGTACATATAATACCTTACTAAGTTGAGTTTATAAATACATTCGCAGTCTCTCGCAAAAAAAAAAATAGTAATGTATGCAATTTTGTAAAGGCCAGGCCAGAGATCGTATCGTCAGATAAACAAAATGAGACCATCAAGTTTGGCGATAATCCTCCATCCGTTGTCCCCCTTGTTCCCATTAACTAATTTATTATTGCAAGAGGTGGGAACAACTATAAAAAAGACAATAATAACCAGTTTATGCTTCATTATAACACCGTGTGTACCTCTATACCTATAGTACCAAACCCAATATCCGCGCTGAGCATGAAACTGTATTTTATTTTGTTGGTGGTTCTTGGTAAGTACAAAAAACATATTTCAGTTAATATTGTAATTGACTTTATTAAACATTATCATTTCAACTGAATTTAGTAAATTAGATTTTTTTAAAATGCTCTTTGCTCACAATTAATAGGTAGATACCTATCAGCTTTATATCAACTTTATCTTCAAAATTTAATCTTTCAACATTCATTTCAAAAAGATTGAGCACCTATTAAGTACTGCTTCATTACTTCTGTAAAAGCTTTCACGTATCTTTTTATTCTGTTAGTTTTTTCTGCGAATTCGAATTTATATAAGAGTTAGAAAACTTATTTTTAACTAATGTTGATCAAATATTAGTCTTAAAACCGGAAATAATCCGATTCAGTTGATGCACTCGTTACAATGAATTAATGATATGGGAACTCTGGTTTAAATTTGCAAAACAAGTTGATAATTAATTCAATGCAAGAATAGATATTGTCTATTTTGTGAATCAGAAATATAATTCTTGTTGTTTTTATCAATCTCAGCTATAAGAATATGTACCTATAGGTACATTTTTTTTTTTTTTTTTTTTTACGGATATGCGCACTTGCAAGGAAATGTCCTATCACGCTCGAGAAGCGGCAAGTGCGCGGAAATGTCGGTGTATGTTGGTCTTGAAACGGTTCAGGTTGTAACCTGCAGGGAAAACCGTCGCAGGGAGTTTATTCCACAGCGATGCTGTTCTCCAGAGATATGAATTCTGATATAATGAGGTTCTTGGTGCCTCTAGTTTGACAGTAAATTCATGGTTACCGTCTGTTTGACGGGTTCGCCTGGTAGGTGCTACTCTCGGTGGAATCATACGTGCCAACTCTTCAGAGCATTTTCCGTGATAGTACCTGTAGAAGAGAGATAAATCGCCCACAGATCTGCGATGTTCGAGACCATCCAAGTTACGAGTAAGTGCGGGGTCATTGATCAGCTTGATAGCTCGTTTTTGCACGGTGTTCAAAAGCATTAAGGTATGTTTGGGTGCTGCACTCCATATATGTGAGCAGTACTCCATAGTTGGTCGAATCTGGGCTTTGTAGAGTGTCAGCAATTGGCTTGGTGTGTACAGATGTCTTGTACGAAATAGCACCCCCAGCTTTTGGGACGCCCTTTTAGCAATATCTGCCACGTGATTGTGCCAAGACATGTTGGTCTCTGCAGTAACCCCCAAGATGTTCAACTGACTCTGTAATGTGACAGCACTTCCAGATAGCATGATGTTTGGCTCACCGGTGCTGTTCTTTTTTGAAAACAGAGCTGCTTGGGTTTTCTGTGCGTTGAACTGTACAAGGTTTTTGTTACCCCAGTCCTCTATTATCTCCAGGTCGTTATTTATCTGCGATATTTGAGTTAGTCTAAGATGATGGAATTCACGTGCGGAAAGACCTGTGGGTGGTATGAGTGAGGAGACTACATTGCCATCGTCTGCAAAGCAATAAAGTGGATTTTCTGTTTTATCTATGAGGTCATTTATGTAAATCAGAAAAAGAGTTGGCGAAAGGATTGCTCCCTGTGGCACACCAGCATTTATTTGGTAAGAGTTGGAGTTCTGGCCATCCAGTGCAACATAAATGGATCTGTCCTTTAGGTAACTTTCAAACCAAGTGCAAAGTTTCGGCGATAATAATACATATTCACATTTGCAAAGTTTCAATAGGGTATATAATGGAAACGGTTGGTATAGAATTGGTTATTTCTATATTGCATATGTCGTGGTTGATGTTTTCTTCAGGAGTTGCGATTCTTTTCACCATCATTTGGCTGGAAAGTCTCTTCAAAATATTTAACATACTTATTTATTAGCATTGTGTGTATTGCTTTTTGCATATGCCCTCTACATTTTCAATGGAAAAATTCTGCACGATAGTTCTTCTAAGTCTTTTGGTTGTAATTTAAAGTGAATAATCAGTTTTACTGTTTTAATGGAAAAGTTTTTGTTTTGAATTTTTGTCCTAAGATGCTGCGTAGTATTTTTTTGGTCTAGTTTTCTCGCACGATTGTCCAATTTCAATATTTCCCTAAAGATCGTCTGATATTATGAGATATGTGAAGCAACTTCCACCTGCAGTTTGTCGGATGCTTTCGGTTCCAAGAACTCCAAGGAGTTAAACGAGGCAGCACTACATCCAGCAGTTGTGATCTTTTCAAGGCGATTAGAGAACACTTTATTTTCATAATTGAAAGGCCAATGTAGAGTCGTAGAGAAACAATATTACCATCAAAGCTGGCAGAAATCTTCCGATCGAAATAAATAATTTTCCAGAGTGGTAATTTACCTAATATAAAATTTGTTGTAGTTAGTTACAACGGGTTCTTTCACTAAAATTTAAATACGTAATTTAAGCGTAGCATGAGATTAAATAAGGGACTACTTTAGGTATATAACCCAAAAAAAAAAATTTATCTACGAGCTTAAATTAGTTTTCTACAGCTCCAGAAGTGAATAAACTTAAAATCTTTAAAACGCGCCAGACGATGACGTCTAAGCGGTACAAGCATCACCAATGAAATTAAATTGTGTATGATAATAATTCAGAAAAAAATGTTATAAACTCTTGAGTCCCTAAGTAATTAATTTAACTATTTTTCTTGATATTTTGCCTAATTTTAAAATTAAATTTTTTCACAAATTTTCAGTGCTGACAATAAGTGGAAACACTTTCAGAATTCAAGTTATGACGTAGTGAGAATAAATTCCGTGTTTTTATTTAGATAGTTTTGACATCCTATTGACAAAATAAATATGTATAGATAGCCAATGGCTAAATTTTTTTGCAATATCTTTAATTATAAACTATCAATATTTGCATATCCAACGATAAACACGTCGGTTATCTCACATAATTTCCAAACACTCTATAAACAAACATCAATTATAAATTATAATAAACCAAATATTTCCATTTGTCTATAAGTATTTCATTTTCAACCAATAAAAACTTCTAAAAATAAGCATGATTCAATGTGTTATAAAGTGCATGCAGATAAGCGGGAAAAAAGCATGCTTGCACAAAATATATGATGTTCACTATTTTTTTGGCGTCTCCTCATCCTTGAAAATTGACAACAGGTACTATCGCCAGCTTCAACTGGTTTTCACATCTTATTTCAAAACTATATAGATATTCTGGATTTGAATGGCAAAGTACGCCATGCAAAAAATACTCATTGGTGCATACGGCCAACTTGGATTTCGAGCAATCGCGCAAACGACAACGCATCGCATCGCCTAGTCATATTATTAGAGGGACCACACAGGATGATGTTCAACAAATTAGAGACAGGCTGAAATTTGGTATAAACTGTGTTTTGAGGTTACTGAATACCCTCTGAAACCACAGCGCCGAGGCGTTGAGCCCGTCACCCCAAAACCACCCCTTAAATCAAGTGAAATCTACCTTTTTTTACATTTTTCTTAATAACTCCAAAACTAAGCATTTTAGGAAACAATGTCAGGAGACAAAAATTGTAGAGAAGAAAATATCCTAACAAATAAGTATACAGTATTTTTATTTTATTTTTCAGATGTTCCGTGGCGTAGATAAAAATATTTAACTAAGAGGATTTTTCTAAAAACACCACTTATTTATTTATAACTCTTTAAAATCAAGCATTTTAGGGCGAATGCCTTCACGCAAAAATTTACATAGAATTTTCTATAAAAAGGCACTTTTTATTATAATGTAGAGGAATACCATAAAGTGTTATTGTAGTTTTACTAGAGACATAATTATAACACAAATTAAGTCAGAACGTTCATTTTGCAAATAGGAAAATAAAAAAAAAGAAAATGTACGTATCTTAAAAAGAGTCTTTTTCTACGTCCACTTTTTCTGGGGTTATACAAGTAATGCCATTGCATTGGCCACATGCCATAGGAGCAGCTAAGACCAGGGAACAGGGTGTCCGAATTTGGACGGTTTTAATATGAAACGTCAATTTCTGAGCGAGATAGAAAAAAGTCTTCTTTTTGATTGGTTCTGTAAAACCCTGTATATTCATATGAAAAACGCCGCCATTTTGTGGCCTACCTGTTGCTAATTGTAAATATGAATAAGATTTAAATGGACATCCATAATAAGAAATTGGCAACAACGTAACCGATGACTAGTATTAGGTACATTAAATACGTTGTCCATTTAAATCCTATATATTCCTATTTGAAAGGAGCAAGAGGTAGGCCACAAAATGGCGGCGAGACCTCTATTGTCGCCACTGTATGTAAAGGTTTATTTAGTCACTATTGAGCAATACTGTGAAGCCTTTATAACTTTTCTGTTAATGAGAATTATTGATTTCCGTTAAAACGAAGTAATTTTTTACAGAATTAAGTGACGTCTCAGTTTTTTTCTATTTGACCCCAATTTCGAGATATTGATCAATTAATACATACATATATTAATAGCTCTTCAGAAAGCTCTGCTTTTGCTGATTTCAATGATACAAATTTCGATAGGTTTATCTCTAACAGTTTTCGAGAAAAAAAAATTTTCATTTTTTTTTTCATGAGAAACAATGCGTTAGAAAAGGACTTTATATCTGTAAGGAAAATGAGAAAGGTCTCTTCCTAACACATTGTTTCTTATGACAAAAACCAAAATAATTAAATTTTTTTCCCGAAAACTGTTAGAAGCGGAATTTTTAAGATTTGTACCGTAACATATTAATAGGTATAGTTGAAAATCTATTTCAAAAAAGGAAATAGGAAATAGACCAAAAGGTAAATTAAATTAAAAAAATAATGAGTAAACTAGTTTCCTTCTACATGTTTTGTTGCATTTGGTTGGTTTGAAGCTACTTTGGCCGAAAGACTGTGACGCTTTTTTAATCTCTTTTTGGGAGGCTCGTCTTTGAAGGATCTTCCAAATGGCAATATTTTCGAGCCCCTCGTAATTCCCACCTGTCGTCGACTGATTAAAGTTGATTGTACTCTTATGCTTGCCCTGTATCCAAATCGCCTCGCAGAAGAGCTTCCTATGGTATCAAAACTTTCTC